GTGTGGCATCTTGGCACCTATTCCAATATCCTTTCAGATTGCTTTCTATATTATAGAGCATAGGAAGCTAAAATCAGGCACGTCCCAGTTGCCCATGAAGTTATGTTTATAATTTGCTCTAGGTTCCAATGAGAAGAGCACCACACTAGACGAGGCAGAAGTAACCAAACTGGGTTAGCGACCATTCACAGTAACTCATATCTTCTGTCAAGCACGGAGAGGGAGTCATTGGGTTCTCGGGCATCTGGGTTGCAGTTTCTACATCTGTCTTGAGTGACATAATAGTAAATGGTGGGCAAACCAGTGATGCTTTCTTATAATAGCCCCATGATGTGTAGGGTATGTTTTTTTTTTCCCATAGCTAATTCATTTCTGGATTTTATATTCTTATGTAGCATCTAAACATCCTTGTCCCCGCCCCCACCACAGAGTCTGTGAGCTACCTAATAATTTTTAATATAATTCTTTCTGATTAAACTACCTAGAGTGGATTCTGTCATCTGTAACCAAGAACACTTACTGATATATTTAATAAAACTAAGATTTAACTCTTTAAATCTGTGATAATTTTTCTAGTAAACTGGTTTATAAACGTAATTCAAGGGCCAATTTCTTTTCCATGATTTATGGTCCCTCCCATTTAAAGCATCCTTTACTTTGGTCCTCTGGTATAAATTTTCAAAAACGTGATATTTAGGATTTCAAACGCTAATATTCTTTCTGGAACTTAAATCAAAAACTGCAAGGTAGATAAGTGCTCATTTTTTTCTTCAAATTGAAAATTGATTCCAAAATTTGACCTATGAAGAGGGATACCTGGGTTTGAGATTTGAAGAGGAAATGGGAAGAAATAGAAAGGCAGTGTAACAGTTCCCTCCATGGCACTTATATTAGCTTCTATCTAGAAAACAGTGCTCTAACCCCACTGGAAGATAAGTTACCTCTGCTATATGTTAAGGTCCTACCTTCTGTAGAACTAGGTTTGGCGCCTCTGATGATATAGATGTAGGACAATGAAAGTAATACTGTTCTGCCTCATAAGGGATCAATTCATTAGACTAAAAGCAATAAATAATAATATCTAAAATTTTCTTAATGACTCAGATATAGATGTTGGTCAGGGCTCTTTGGGTTTGAAGTGACATAAACCCAATACTAACTAAGCCAAAAATTAATGATTCATGTAACAGAGAATATGTTGATTTTAGAATATGAACACAAATTCTTCGACATTTCTACTTTCAAGAGGAATTAGGCTTTAGCCTAAAAATGTTCCTCTTGAATGTGGGCAAACTTAGTGACTTATTCTGACAAATAGGATAAAGTGGAAGTAAAGCTGTGTGATTTTTTTTAGAGGCTAAGTGAAAGGTACCTGAGTTTCAAGCCCATTTCGAAAATCAATAATGGTAGCACAAGTATTCCGATTTTCCAATGTGGTCTTATGTCACCCCTGTGACTAGAGAGGGAGCAGGGATGAAAGACACAGTAATAAGAAGCCTAAATGCCACAGAATGAGGAAAGGGTAGCCCTAAAAAAAATAATAATTTAAAGAAAAGAGATACAGGAAGTCAAAAACAATAGACATCTACTTGAGACCCTTCCCGTTTGGATTCCTCCTTGCTCTCTCTTGGATTGTTCACTCTGGAGGAAGCCAGTTACCATGTTGTGAAGAGAGGTCCACACTCTGAGGAGCTGGACTCCAGCCAGCAGCCATGTGAGTGAGCCATGTTAGAAGGAGATTCTGCAGCCCCAGTCAAGCCTTTAGGTGACTGAAGCCTCTGCTAACACCTTGACTGCAAACGCATGAGAGATTTTGAGCCAGAACTACCCAGTTTAGTCACTCTCAGATACCTATCAGAAAATGTGTGAAATAATAAATGTTCGTTGTTTTAATCTAAATTTTGGCATAATTTGTTACAAAGCAATATATAACTAATACAGAGTGACTCAAAAGTTGGCCTGGCTTCCAGGACAGCTTGATCCAAGGAAAAAATTATTTCATCAAGGTATTTACTCCATCTTTTGGCTATGCTTTTCTGTGTGTAGAGGCTTCATTCTTCAGACAATTTCATCCATATACCTGGGAAAGATGTCTGTCATCAGATTTTGATCTACAAGCTTATTATACATAACTTGTGATCCTAGAAAAAGAAAAAGATCTTGTTTCTCCCAGTCTCCATATTCAAATCTTAAGGAAGATTCTTGTGGACCCCGTTTGAGTTTAAAGCCCATTTCTAAAATCAATCATGGTGGCCAAGTAGAATGAGTATTCTGATTTTCCAGCATGATCTTATGTCACCCATATGCCTAACGCCTAAAGGTAATGCTATGGTATTACCTTTGGAAGATGCTTAAGTCATGAGGGGGGAATCCTCTTGAATGGGATTAGTGCCATAAAAGAGGCTCCTGATACATTCCACCATGTAAGAATACAGCGAGACCTGGAAGCGAGCCGTTACCTGACCATGCTGGCATCCTGATCTTGGACCTTCAGCCTCTAACACTGTGAGAAATAAATGTTTGGGTAGCTTATTTAAAGCTACCCAGTCTGTGGTATTTTGTTATAGTAACCTGAATGGATTGAGACAGTTCTAATATTTCTTTTTTGGATTCCTTAGGATTTCTACATACAAGATTATGTCATCTGAAAATAGAAATAGTTTTATTTCTTCCTTTCCAATCTGGGTGATGTCTGTTTTCTTTTCTTGCCTAATTGCCCTAATGCCTAACGCCTAGAACCTCCAATACAATGTTGAAAGAAGTTTTCTTGCCTAATTGCCCTGGCTAGAACCTCCAATACAATGTTGAAAGAAGGGTGAAAGCAGATACCCGTAGAGGGAAAGCTTTTAGTCTTTCACCCTTAAGTAATGTTAGCCGTGGGTTTTTCATAGATGTCTTTTATCAGGTCTTTTATCAGAATTCCCTTATATTTGTAGTGTGTTGAGTAATTTTTATCATGAAAGGGTTTTCGATTTTGTCAAGTAATTTTTCTGCTTGATTGTGTGATTTTTGTCCTTTATTCAACTAATATATTACATTGATTGATGATTAAACCAACCTTATTTCCTAGTACAAATCCCACTTTTTATATGTTGCTAAATTCGGTTACCTAATATTTTGTTGAGGATTTTTGTCTGTAGTTTTCTTAGGTGATGTCTTTGTCTGGTTTTGGTATCAAGGTAATACTGATCTCATAGGATAAAATAGAAAGTGTTTCCTCCTTTTTTATTTTTGAAGAGGTTGTGAAGAACTGGTATTAATTCTTTAAACATTTGATAAATTCACCAAAGAAACCATCTGGTCTTGGGCTTTTTTTGGTGGAAAGTTTTTTGATTGCTAATTCAACCTCTTTATTTGTGATAGTTCTATTCAAATATCTATTTCTTCTTGAGTCATTTTCAGCAGTTTGTGTTTCTAGGTGTTGTAGACACCTGCATAAATAGAATGAACCTTTACTTAAAGTTTGGTTCAGATGTCAAGACTTATGACACCACATACACACACACACCACCACCAATGTATGAAAAGTTTTATTACTCACATAACAAGACTTTCTATGGAGAACAGGGAAGGCCTCCCAACTTGTTCTGAAAATAGCATGAGAGAACAGGGAAAGGAGGACTGACTCGGAGTTTTGTTTTTTATTTTTTGTTTTTTTGACTTGGAGTTTTTATAGTGGTTAGAGTAAGGCTGGAAAGAGGGTTCTGACATGCAGGCGGGCCCTTGGATGGTTCGATCATCTCATCAGTGCCAAATGGGAGAGAGCCTGGGCTTTCTTATCAGCTCGTCCAGATGTGGAGCAAGAGGGAGGAAGGAGGTTTAAAAGGTGTTAGTAGTCAAATATCAAAAAAAAAAATACTCAAAATTTTATTATTTTAGGAATTTGTCTATTTCATCTAATTTATTTAATTTGTTGGCATACAGTTGTTCATAATATTCCCTTATAGTCTTTTTTATTTCTATAAAGTCCATAGTAATGTTCCCTCTTTCATTCCTGATTTTAATAGTCCTTCTCCCTCTCTCTGCTCTCTGTCTAGGTAAAGATCTCTCAATTTTTTTTCGGCCTGTTCAATTCTGCTACTCAGCCCCTCTAGTAAAATTTTTATTTCAGCTATTATACTTTTCAGCTTCATAATTTCTATGTGGTTCTTTTTAAAGATAATGTCTCTCTTTATGGGTCTTCAGGATTCTATGAAATTTCATTCTCCTATTTTCCTGAAGTTCTTTAGAATGGTTTTTTTTTTTTTAGTTTTTGAACATATTTAAAGAGTTGATATAAAGTCTTTGTCTGATAAGTCCAGTGTCCGGGCTTCCTGAGGGAGTTTCTTTTCTCTTTTTCCCTGTATACAGGCCACATTTTCTTGTTTCTTTGCATGACTCATAATTTTTGGTTGAAAACGGGGCATTGTAAGTAATATGTGATAACTCTTTAAATCAGTCTCTTTTCTCTTCCCCCATATTTGTTGCTGTTTGTTGTTGTCTCTTTGCTTAGTGACTTTTCTGGACTAATAACTAGCATACGATTTAACATTTCCAAGAGCTGGGAGGTCACCATCTGATGGCAGCTCGGTGCATTGCTGAATCACTCTTATCAATAGAAATCTCTTCCTGCTACTGAGCCCAAATTCTTTCTCCCATTTTCCCCTTGAACATCTCAAAATAAAGCTATTGTCATTTCTGTGACAGTACTTCCACTATCTGAAGGCTTCTCATAACCCTTTCTAACTCTTCTCCCTAGTTCTGGAAAAAAGGTTGATGCTTTCCCCTGAACATCAGCTCTCTCCTACCTCTAACTGCCACGGCCTGAGCTGTCCTACTGAAACTGAAATCAAGAGGGATCTGGAAAGGCTAGGTGGAAGAAATAGATTCCCTTTGAGCTCACACAAGATCTAATTATCTTTTTTCTAACCCCTTTCCCATGACAAATGAATCCCTGCCCCACTCCTACCCCGTGAATACTACCAGTTAAAAATACATGCATACACACACACACACACGCAAACAGAGAAGAGGTTCAATTTATTGGTTGCTCTTTGGGAAAGGTTATATAGAACATAATTTGAGAGAAACTGAATTCTCGTTACAGATTCGTAAAACTTTGCATTAAACCAAATTAGCTTTTATAAGACTATCAAATCCCCCTCATCCTCATACACAGCAAAGTACCTCAATCATAATCTATATAATCCTCTGTTGTTTTTAAATGATTAAAGCAGATATAATACATAATGCAGTTGATATTAAATATCTTGAGAATGACAAATCAATAGAACTACTTTCACTCTTAAGCATTAACTAGTCATTTATAAATGTTCTGCACATACATTTTTCATTTTAGATTTTCTCCTTAAAAGGACTTGTGAACTATTCATTATTATCTGCTATTTGTTTGTACACACACGTCATGTCTTCCAAATAATATTTAAAATTACACTTAATATTGCCTCAGAAATGTTAACCTTTAAGGAACATTCAGTCAAAAAAATAATAAAAGCTCGGGTCTTGACTCTGTAAAGCATGTTCAGATGTGTCAAGGTTATACTGTTTCCCTCTGACCTGATAAAAGCCTCCAACAGCATATAATGTGCCAGCCTCTTCTTTGCTCACCTCAAAGGAAGTCAAATATGGAGAAAAAAATGCTTGAAATCACAGTGACCAAAGGATTTGAATTAATAATTACATTAAATAACCATAACTTTTTGTTTAACTATTCACATTCCACACAGTGGAAATTATCCTTTCCTCCAGATTTTTCGCTTACATTTTGAACTTTGAAGAACTACAATAACAAAAAACAACTTACAGACTTGCAGGATGTATGTTTTTCTCATTTAATGCCAAGCACAGAGTGTACGTCATAAAATTAATATTTGGTATTTGGCATTAATAGGAAAGACCAAGATAGCAAATATCTTGCCATTAAAAAAATTCTACTATAGTAATGAAAAAACATATCATTACATCATCGATGATTCCAATACAATATGTAATAGATATGGTACTTTCAATAAATGTTGGAAGGCACATTGTACTTGTGCTAGTCTTAATATAGGCACAGTAAGAAAAGCAGACGTTTTCCTCCTTGGCTAGTGCTGTGTTTTTTAGGGCAGTTACGCTGATTATCCCAGTGAAGTTAATTTCGAGGAAATTCTCTTTACTTAAGCCAAATTCGACTTACATGCAAGACTGTGGTACAAGCTACTAAAAGGAGATTACTGCTGCCAACTTAAGTCAAATCTTTTTAACACAATTGCATGCTTGTGGCAGAGTTAAAACAAGAGAAATTCAGTGTCTGCTTGTTCTGAATGTCATTTTTCCTCTCTAGTGTGGTTTTACATTTCCAGCTCTTTCCCCTTTCTCTTCCTCTCCCCCACCCTCAAAATTCTGGCTTAACATTTGAGTGCTTAATTAAATCCATTCTGTGCTTTATTGTTGGAGGATGTAGACGATAGAAAGATGTAGGGCAAGGGCATACAGTGTATACGAAATGCGCAGACTCTGTGTCTGCACAGATTTGCCTAGTGTAGGATCATCAGTAGTGAGTTTAAAAGTTTTAAAATTAGACCCAATATTTTGGGTGTTCGAAATCACTTCTGCCTCAAAGTATGGGTCCTGTTTAGTTGTTAGATGGGTGAACACTGAACCAAAACAAAAATAAAATAAAAACAGCCTCTTTAGTTGCAATGGTCCTGTGAATACTGGAGCCTTGATGGGCAACTGAAACCCAAGTCTTTGGCGTTTTGTTTCCCATGTCGCACATGACTCAGCTAATGAGGTTGAGAAGAGACAAGGCAAAAAGTGTTGGGGGAGGGGTGCAGTTTACAGATAAAACCTCAGGCTTGAAGTGAAGAGGTTAGCCAAACCCAAAATGCAGCAAGGTTTACCCACGTAGAACTTTAGCCATCACATAAATCTTACGTAGGTATTGCAAGTAGCCCAAGTTTAATCAGAGGACAGCCTCTACCAGTAGGTTCTGAATAGCTACAATGTTACAGGATGCCCCAGCAGTAGACAGAGACCTAAGGAACCCAAATGCTCTGATTTCTTACCTGGGGTTTCCTACTAGACCCTCAGAGAGCAAAAGAAGGCCCTTCACATCTCTCCTCGAGGACATTAAACTACTCGTGAGCCAAAAGCAGTCTCCTTTATTTCCTTACCCTCCTCTGCTCTCCAGCTCAAACTCTTACCAATGGCTAAAACAAAGAGACCCAAAACAAACTTCTAGCTAAAATGGAGCAGGTCCTAATCTTAGCCTGGTTCTTTATTGTCAGGTACATTAAGCAGAGGCAGCATCTATATAATACAGGGTTGTGGCTCTCAGAAGCATTACACAGAAATAATGAACTGGGAAAGAAGTGATTATAACCAAATCAAAAGAAAGCTATTAGAACTTTGTACTTACAAGGTTTTCATTTTTTTCCTATCCCTGCATTGGGGGTTCTGAACTACATCTATTGTCCCCGTGAGGGGCAAAGCAAGAAGTGGCTCTTTGAGTTTACCTCACTCATTTGGTTCTGAAAATACACGTTTTAAATCTGGTATTGGGACACAGTTACTTTCAGCAGATCACAGCAACGGCCAAAATTAGTAATTTTTTTGACAATTTCATTTCTCCTCCGTTCGCTTGGGTTCTGGTTAAATATTAGGAAAAACTTGCTGAAGCATGGGTCTCACTGTGTTTTGGGGTTGGCCTTCCAGGACTCTGCACATTTCCCAACTGAATTTTGCTGGGCCCAACTGGTTCTCACACTCGGTCCCTCACTTCTCTCACTCGGTCCCTCACTTCTCTCACTCCTCCATCCTTCTTGCCCCTGCCTTACCAACCTCCCTGCGAGTCTGAAGGGTCTTCTCAAACTGGGAAACACTTACATCCATGATCAAGTGAGTTAATTTAGAACCCTTGGCAAATAGGGGATTAGACTAAAATAGTCACTGAGATCCTAAGCAGGGATGGATCATGGAAAGGAGGAGGAAGGGTGGAAGCAAGCACAGGTTGAAATACCTTTCCCTCGTCTAAGACAGCACTAAAACAGGTCTCTTGCCCTCAGAGTCACCTCTTTCGTTAACATTCATTCTGAAGGGAGACTCTGGTCCCCAGGAGGGCACATGGAAGACAAAGGCGAAACCGGACCACAGCCCTCCCCGCTTGAATGTGCCTCAGGTGGTGTGGGCCTTCTGTGCCGTTCCCTTTGGAAGCAGGTTCATTTAGGTAACAGGAAGTGCCCTCTAGCAGAGACTGTGTTTCCTCTGGTGTCTGCACGCACCCACAGGCACCCAGGCACACTCATGCACACAAACTACACACTAGCAGACGCCTGTCAGGAGACAGCAGGTGGTCCTCCTTGCCTCTCTCTAGGTTTAAGCCAAGTTAGAATCAAGCTGTTCTAGGCCTGGCTCTGGGCCCGCCCGGGGCTGCGTTCCTAGGACAGGCAGGGTGTCCGGGCTTAATCCAAATCGATGGAGATGCAACGACACTGCTTCACTCGCGTGACTCTCTTCTTCTTGGTGGGTGGCTGTAATTCGGGACAGTTGAGTGTGACCATCATGGTGGTAAATTTCTTGGGCTTGCAGAAGGAGCAGGACTGAAAGGAGCCTTCCTCCTTCCGGATGTGCCTGGGGATGTAGAAAGAGTTGCACTGGCCGTAGCAGAAGCGGTTGATGATGGTGCGGCTGTTACAGCCCTCCTCGTGGATGGTCTGCTTGAGGGGCTGGGTTTTGCACCAGTCTCGCTTCAGGTATTTGCGCTCAGTCACATGCAGGGCCTCCTGGCTGGACTCCAGCACCTCCTCCCCCGGCATGGCAGTGCCACGCCCTTGGCCCCGCCCCCGGTTCCTGGAGCCCGGCTGCTGGGGAGACTGAGTCTGCTCTGAGTCATTATGCTGGGCCTTGTCTGGCGGGGGAATGGCACCCTGCGACCCCTTCTTTTTCCCTTCAGCAGCTGGCAGCAGCGTCCCCAAGAGGAGAAGCAGGGCTCCTACAGCGTAGGCAGTGCGGCTCATGCTGAAGGAAGGAAACAGAGGAGGAGACATGAAATACGGAAGAGTTAATTAGTCAAAACATTAATACAGCCATGTGCTGCACAACAACTTTTTGTTTGATGTCGGACTGCATGAACAACAGTGGTCCCATACGATTACCATGGAGCTGAAAAATTCTTATTGTCTAGTGACACAGTAGCTGTTGTGACAGAGCCCAGCATATAACTCAGGTGTTTGTGGTGATGCTGATGTAAACAAACCACCTGCTGTGCTGCCAGTCATATAAAAATGTAGCACATACAATTATGTACAGTACATGGTATTTGAAAATTATATTAAACAATTATGGTAGTGGTTTATGTATTTACTACACCATATACTTTACTGTTATTTTAGAGTACACCCTTTCTATTTATGAAAAAGAAAGTTTCCTATGAAACAGTATGCTGTGTTACACAGGAAGCAACCTCATACATGTCATGATTATTACATCTCTTGATTGAGCCATTTTCTCTTGTGCTTCAAGGATTTAATCTCGTGTTGTTCTGTTCAGTAACATGCTATACCATACAGTGTAGGTGTGCAGTAGGCTAGACTATCTAGTTTTATGTCATTGTGATGTTCGCACAATGACAAAATCGCCTAATATATCCCATTGTTAAGCGCTGCAAGTAGCAGCTAACATTTTATCAGGCACTTGTTAAACATTTTATGTAAAATATTTCATTTACTTCTCACAATATCTCTATGAATTAAGTACTATTATTCTCATTACCCTCCGAGCCATCAGGCTATGAGGTCGCTTGCCCAGGGTCACACAGCAAATAAGCCAAGATTTGAACTCAGCCAGGGCCCATGTCTTCGTGGCATGGTCCTGGCTTGACACTAACTACATTTGACTTTGTATTATGGTCACTTAACTGTATTCATTCTGGTATTTGACAATATTTAGTAAGTTCCTACTATTTCAATGCTGGATCACCTTGTACATCTTTGGGGAAAGTTATTTTCTATTTCGTTTTATAGCAAAGATGAATCAGCCTCATTGCCTAGAGGGCTGCCAGGAAAGTCGCTGAGTCTTTTCTCCCCAACTAGCCTGAGTGCTTCCTGAGTTGTGCCTTGTTCAGTTGGTTGGATGCTTGTGAGATGCTCACTGTTACCAGGCATTGGAAGGAGACTGGTGGACTGGTGGAGACCAGAAAGTACTTGACAGAGGGAGAATACTTCACAGAAAGAGCATTAGACAAAAAAGTCAAGACTGAGTTTTTATTTGAAATCCTGGGGTAACTACTTGCTATCTGACCTGAGGAAAATCACCTTACTTCTCAATAAACAATTTCGCTTAAGCAAAGCTACAAATACCTCATCTCCCCAGATAGATTGTTCGGATCAAATTTGATGTAAAAGTGAAAGCAGTTTGAGAACTAACAATATAGTAGTACTGCAGACAAATGAATTACTTTACCAGAAAGATCTCATAACTCAGAAAGACTTCTAACTTTTTCTTAATTTTAATCTGAGAACAGATATTCATTATGTCATTCTTTATACTATGATCTAGATTTTTTTACTTTATATGGTGAAATACATCATTGACATGTGTGTGTACATAAAATTGAGAAGGTAGAAAATGGGCACAAGAGAACAGGTATGTACAAACTCACGAATAAATGCCGTAGACATGTTGACTATATTAATGACAATGAATTACTGTGGACAGGTCTGGAGTTAGATATGGGTCAGAAAGGGAAGTGGCATATAAACAATGACAAAAAAAAAAAGGGAAAAGGCAAAAGGAAAACAGTCCAAAAAACAAACAAACAAACAAAAAAACAGTAAAATAAGAATGGAGAGAGAAAAAAATGAAGTTAGGAATGTAAATCAGAGAAAAAAGGACTACTACTCTAGGTAGGGAGTTCAGGGAAGGTAGGGCAGACAGAGAAGGAGGAGTAAAAGCCTGTTTTTATAAATAAGAGTGCAAGAGAGAAGCATCAGACTATTAGGAACAGTACTTCTCAAACCCGAATGTGCAGGCATTCACCTGGGGACATTGTTAAAATGCAGATTCTCATTCACTAGGTCTTCCTCTCTAACAAGTTTTGAGTAGCAAGGCCTGTAGCACTTGTAGCCATGGAGTACAGAAGGACTTACTAAAATGTGGAAGGATTTTCTTTTCCATGAGTGCACCCTCCTTCCTCAGGCCATCACACCAAATCTGACCTGAGTTCTGAGGCTTCCCCTGCCCCTAACCCCATCCCCACCATGGTTTTCCGAATTAAGGACACAGCTGTGAAGCACTTATTTCCCAGCTTTCTTCTGAACACCAGTGTTACACGTGATAACCGGGAAGTGCAATTTAATAGTAATCTTATTGTGGCCCCCCAAGGAGCTGTACAAGTAGGTATTATTAACAAGAGCAATTACCTTTCAAAGACAAAGGCAGTGTGGCATCTACATTCTCTATGGGACAGCCCCTGTAAGTAAAAACCATGCAACCCTAAAGATAGTTTCAAATTAGGATAATTAAATATTAAATTTAAAATATCCTCAAATGGCACCATCTTCCCAACATTAACCTAATATTGTTGGGCAAATTCAAGTTTGGAGCTGATAATGTGACGTTTAGCTCTTTGCTCTGACTGCAGATGCCCTGGCTTTTGTCAGTTTATGTTACAACATCCCTGTTCTTTAAACAGAGTCTTTTTTGCCTCAACAACAAAAAAATTAATTTCCTTGTTTTGTCTTAAAAAAAAAAAAATCACTCATGAAAAAAGTCCAGTTATAAAACAGTGCTGACTTTCTCCAGAGACCAGGATAACTTGAGCCATGACAATTTAGTCTCCTAAGCAAATATATAGTGAATTTGAGAAGCTTTCACAAGTTTCTGCTATTTGTTTAAACTAAAATGCAGTCTCTGCCCATTTCAAAGAGGAGCACATAAGACAGCCCTAGGCCTACACCCACGATCTTCCCCCATCCCTACTGAAACTGGCCTCCAGGACAGTTCAGCCCTCCTAGGGCAAGACCCCCAGAGCCCACAACACAGGAGCCAATCTGAGATTGACCGGGAATGTACGTTGACTACATATGACAGGTTCACATAATGAGGCCATCCCCTCCCACAAACATCTGTCCAAAAATGCATTTTTTTTTTTCTGCAGACCAACTTAGGACCTCCTTTACACTCAGCTTTCCCTTCCTGGCATTTTCACATCTGTGATTAAATAAATACCTAGTCTGAGTCATGAGGGCTTACTCATCACCTTATCCTCATTGTCTGGCACACAGTAGGTGCTCTTAAATGAATGACTGTCACAGACCATATTGATTTGCACAGTTTCTATTCTTTGCATTTTAAAATGCCTTCCCACATACCAGTGACAGCACAGCCAATAGCAACCCTTTTGTTCTGACCCTCAGTATAGCAAACTCCTTATAGTCCAGGGAGCTTCTTGATATTTGCCTTCCTTTTTCTAGAAAAACTCCAAAAACCCACTAATTTTTACCCAGTCTCATGCAGAATGCTGCGGGTTTTAAATTCTAATTGAAGCCATTGTATTCTCTATGGCAGAAACCAATAATAAAGAAGTAAATCCAAAATTAGTCAAATGTGGTTTTCAGTCTTAGTTTGGACAGACTTCCTATTCCAATGAGAACACGTGTACCCCATAAGCCAAAGGGGTCTAGAGTGAAAGGTTGTTTTGTATTTTTTTATTAAAAAGAAACATAAATTTTTCTCAAAATAAGATTTATTAGATGTAGAGCAATTACGAAATGGTTTTTCTTTTTTAAAAAGCCAACTCTTCAAAGATCTTCAGTGCTTATTGTGAGATTTTTGAATAATTAATTACTTAATTGGAAGTAAAGTAAAAATTGACTTCAGGAATCTCAGTCAACAAGAGACCTCAGGTTTTCAGAGAACAGCAGTTCTCCTAGGGACTCTGCATATTCCACATGAGTAAGAGTGAGGGGGATGAGGACTATAATTAGTACTGGAACCAGGGCTCTGTCAAGTCATTGCGGTCAGTCGCCCAACCTCCCCCCACACCAAACTGTCTTGATTACTCAGTGAAGGAAACAGAACTGTTTTGCTCTTGAAATCCCATTTGTATTGCCACCAAATAATCTGCATTATGTAAGTATCAAAGACATGGAGAGAGTCAAGACGATGTAAATTCCCTGAGGACAATTATTTTCCCCATTAACACCTAGCAGAGTGCCCCATCATCAAAACTCAATCCAAATGCTAATCCAGATTTAGGCTCCTATGAATTATCACCCATGTTCAACCATGAGCGGAAAACAGTTTTAATAATTTGCATTCATGATATGACTCACTCACATCATTAAATTAAAGCTGCATCTCATGAATCCAGAGTGCATAGTGACACCCACAAAGACCTCCCTTGATTCTCCCTTACTGTGTTCTTTTCAAATCCTGCCTCAACTTCCCCTTAATGCATTCTCCTCTAAGTAATGTGATCATATTTTCATGGTGAGCTTTCTCTGCAACTGTTCCCCAGCAGCAAGACCCACTCCACCCCCCACCTTTTTTTCTCCCTTTACCACTGTCCTCCCCTCCAATCCACTCGACTCAGAGGACATAGATGCTCTCACAGAAGGCCTTCTCTACCTGACGCTTTCCTTCAAGTTTTCCTTAGTGATCAAGAGCAAACATCTGCACGCAAGAGAAACCAAATTAGCTACCTCAGCCCTGTGCAGGTCAGGGTGATTTATTCTAATCTTCACAAGTCTCTAAGAACACATCAGCTAATTCTGGGGAATCAGAAATAAAAATGCTATGTGTGACCAGTTTGCAATGGTCTTGATGTCTTTGGGAACGTTTAGGCCAGCTCCTTTCCACACTCTTCTTGCCATATTTCTCATTTTAGCTAACCAACCTGCTTATAATCAGTTAAATGGAGTGCTGAGTGGGAATTACAGTGAAGAGACAATGGTCAGCAAGCCAGATGTCTGTGCCTCAACATCCGATCAATTCCTCCTGATGAATTAAGTTTCAGAAAGACATTCAACAGGCACAGCATCAAATTATTCTCCCAGCATAAAAAATATGCTTTAGAATGATTTGGTTTTAAAATAATCTACTCCTTTTTCTCAGAACTAAATCTTTGAGAACGGCAAAGGTTATTTTTATTTTGATCTTTACTTTTTAAAAAGGTAGCCAACTTTTAAACTTAAATAAATAATTTCTTAAGACTATACTGGGTTGATTTTATTTTTTTCAGTTGCACCGAGAAGATAAGAGTTGATGGTTGGCAAACTATTAGAGCATAAAAGTCTCATCCTGAACGGATTGCAAGTAGCCTAACCACAACCTCCCAATTTTGAATACCATTCAAGCTAAAATAGGCTGGGGCCCAACATGGCATAGGGCAGGGAGGAGACCACCTGGTAGTTAAATATCTCAGGAACTCCATGTTCATTGTAAGATTTTTTGGTGAAATTAACGATTGTATACAATTCTTGCAATCAACAGGAAACAAGTTAGAAAGTAATGAATATTAAATGTTCACTGAGCAGCACTATGGACAGCCAGCCTGCCAAGTTATAGGTTCTGTCTTGGAGTGAAAGATGTGTGTTAGTCTCTGTGTATGTGAAATTTGGGATTTAATTTCAGAACCACTTGTAAAATATTTCGATGGTGTATTATGATACTGCCTCTCCTAATACCACAACTAATAACAAGAATTATCTACATTTTTGAACCTTTACTATGCCTGGCATTATGTTAAATTCTGATCAAATTTTATCATTTATTTTTCACAACAAAATATGAGGTAGATATATGATTGTCTTTCTTCAACATCAGGGAATCCAGACTCAGAAAAGTTAGAAATCTGTCCAAGATCACACAGCTCCCAAGCAGAAGAGTTAGGGTTTGAGCCCAGTGCTATCCTGTCCCCAAATACATGTCCTTAACCATTATTCTATGGACAGACACCCAGCACAGTATTTAACAAAAGACACACAGACTTGTTTCTAATGCAATAAAGTTGAAAGAATATCATAATTTAAATAATTATCTATTTTGTACCTTCATGTTCACATGTGAAGAAAAAAATTTCTCTTGTCCCAGTAATTACTGTTATACTTTGCATTTCTAAGAGCATATGTTAAAAAGAAGAAAATTCCTTGCAGATGTACGACATGGGCTGGTAACACTTGCCAGATCTATGTCTTTCAGTAGATGCTACAGACACTTCTCCTACCTCCTCCCACTTTCCTTTCCATAAAAGGTTTTTGTCCTTTACTCTCTGTTCTAGGACATGCTCCACAGCTTTGCCGCTGACAAGCATTTCTTAGGAGAGGGGTCTCTGGCATAAAATTTCTTCTCGGCTTTATATCACTTTTAATACTTAAACATTAAGACTGAGAGCTTCAGTCAGAAGACAAGGCATATGGCTCTCATTCAGAGATGTGGGGACTTAATAACTTTCTATTCTTCCCTGTGTAATCACTCACCTAAAGACTATGAGCCAACTTGGATTTTCTACAGATCGTTTCACTCAAAATGAACTTTTAATAGGAAATTTGTGAAATTACGAAGTTTACAAAGACTAATTCCTACAACACCTGAGGTTACACACACACGCGCGCACACACACACACACACACAGCAACTATAAAGAACACTTAAATAACTAACCATTGGAGAGTGTAATTTATCCAGTGATAATACTCAAATCATCTACTGCTGTAGACTTCGGTGTGCCAAGGAGAAGGTGAGAATCTGTAGTTTTCTTAATATCTTCCCCTCATTGCTTTGAAAAATTCATCCCTTCAAGTCCCCATGCCCCTCTTCCAAAAAAAAAAAGTCGGGGGAAGGGTAGGAAAGAAAAAGGGCTAGAAAGCTCTGGGGTGAAAGAAGACTCCTTACTCTCGAAAGAGGGTTATCTTAACCTTTTCTCCGCTATTTAACTTGTGTGCACAGATAGGAGGAAACAACTACTCTGGGGCCCCGGGACAGTTTAAGTTCCTAGTGATTCACTTAAGACAATAGATTCTTTTAATCAAGTAGTGTCCTGGCACCACCTCGAAGGGGAACATAAACAGACGCGCACACCGCTCGGATCTGCTCTTTCTAGCAGGAGATCCAATTACCTACTGATGGTCGCCCCTATGCCCTTGTACCAATTTTAAGAAGAGATTTTAACCCCTAACTTCGAGGCTATATTTCTGTCTAAAAGAGCCGGGGTTCAGAGTCGACAGGGAAGGAGAAGGCGGCAGCCAGGTTCGACCGGGGAGCCCATTTCAGGCCATCTCCGGGAGCGCGGGAAGGGCTTAATGCAGTCTTGGTCACCTTCTGACTGACCCCCACTTCGCCGGGGACGGTCGCCGGAGCCCGGTGCGGGGAAACACCAGGCTAGGTGTCCCCAAAGCGGAGCTGGGATCTGAAGACAATGCGAAGCCAGAGCTGTGGTGCGCCCGCTATTCTCAAGCCTAAAGTCTACAAATAACTCTGGCTGATGAGGTGACAGCCCGATGTCCCTCCGCCCCTGGCCTCGCTCCGCAAGCTGCAGAGGTCAGCGGGGTGAGCAAGGCGGCGAGCGAGGACGAGGGACGACCAGAGCCTCGGAGCCTGAGACCAGCCTCCCACCACCGGCCTCGCGTGGTCCATCGTTAGGCGCAGCGACGCTAAGCAAGGATCCCTAATACACAAACTAAGGGGTACCCGCGGAAGTGGAACCCGGCGAATTGTCGCTGACCGGCGCCTGGGGGTCCGCCGTTCAGCCGAGGCGGCCGTGGGACCGGGAGACGCCTAGAACAGAGAGCCGAGCGCCCACAAGTGCGCGGCCAGGACGTGGGTGTGCGTGGTGTGAGCTCCGAGGGCTCGCTGAACTCCGTGTCTGGGACCGACGGTTCCATCGCCCGAACCTCGGTCTTCCACTACGGCCGAATCCCGCGCCTCTGTTCTTGCAAGAGCCTCCATCTCACCTTGAGGATGGGCAAATGGGCCCAATCGCTGATTCTTCGGATCCTCCAGCCCGCGGCAGGATCACTCACGCCACTCCAACAGGAGCCCCCAGACGTCCCCAGCCCCAGCGCCCCACCTCAAACACATGAGACCCTCTCAGCATAACTTGCTCCGCGGTCCGCGGCAGAGATGCAGGTCCCCGCTGCTCCCCACTGCTTCCGCTCACTAGCCTTCTGCTCCCGCGCTCACGGCACTGGGACCGCGCGCCCTCGCCTTGCGGGCGCGGCTGGCAGGCGCGGCTGCCTCAAGCACCAGAAGCACGTTTAGCGGGGCTTTGGGAGGAAAAAATGGGACGCAGGGCTATAGCTCTCGTTCTTGACATCCTCTTTCCCAGTCTTTCCCTGCAGACCGCGCAAGGTGATATCGCCGCAGCCCAGACCTTGGCAGGAAGGACCCGGCGATGGTTCTTCATGATTCGCCCCAGGGGACCGCGGGTCCTCGGCCTGCGCTCACAGAGTGCTGTCGCGCGTCTGCAAGGAGCGGAACGCTGGAGTCGTTTTGCAAACCTCTGCGCGAGCGCGCGCACGCACACGCGCACACACACACAAACACATACACACACACCCCCTCTGACCCGCGCCTCTGCGCTCACCTGTCAGTGCGGCGGGTCGTCTGGACCTGCGCTCTCGACGCGTGGCTTGGTGTGCGGCCGCGGCCGGAGCCTGCGAGGCTCGGCGCGGGGTTAGCCGGGCGGAGAGTAACGCTCTCGCCTCACACTGGGTCGCCCGGTCCGCGGAGGGCGCACCGAGTGCGGGGCATCGCGCAGTCTCCCGTTTAAATGCCGGCAGCAGAGCGCGGCGCCCGGGGCCGCGCCTCTCCATTGGCCAGGCGCCGCCGCCGCCGCGGGACCCGCTATCCACCCACTTTCCCGGTACTGCCCCCGCCCCCCGCACCCCTCCTGCCTCGCCGCGGGGTCCTCTCTCCGCCTGCCTCGCCTCTTTGTCTGCTCCCCCCGCCCAGGGCTGCTGGGAGAGGTCACCCCAGGGAACCGCGCCTGGAATGCACAGCAAATCACATTTTCCGCTCCCGTTGGAGGGGGAAGAGCAGGAGGAAATCCCCCCGGCTCCCGGCCCCTCATTCCTTCTTCGCCCCAGGCTTGGGCCTTTCCTCTCGCCAGCTCCGCTTCGCCTGCGTCGGTCCTGCAACGCGCTTGGTCGCGGAGACGGCTTTGGGAAAAGCAAGTTCTTCGTGAGATCGTGACAGATTGGGCGAGTCTTTCCCCGTGGAGGGAGCAAGACTGCGGCATGCTCTGGTAGAGTTGTCGCTGCGGCTCCGACTCGGCTCCGCCCAGGCCCCCAACTTCGAGAGTGCTGACCCCGGCGCCCCGGTTAACCCCGGCGGGCTTGCGGGCCTCCAGCAGGAGCCTGTCGCCAACATGACACCCTCCTCTCCTCGCCCTCCACAGGCTCTTTCAGCTCAGATGCTGGCGGCCTCGGCTAAGGGTGTACAGAAGGGAATCATGAACGGGGAAGGAGTGGGGAGGATAAACCTAAGAAAACCTTCAAAAGTCAAGGTTTCAATTTCTAAGCCATCTTAAAAAGGGAGAGAACAATAGCTAGGAGAGGAGGTTTTCTGTAGCATGTTAAAGATGAATAAATCAGGAAAACAAAACGTCAGACGAAGAAATAACGTCCCAGAAATTTAAGACAAAACCTTCGTATGTGAAAAACCGATGTCACATTCTGTATTCATTACTGAAAATCCAATGAATGGTGGCGAACACACCAAACGCATATTTTTCGAAAGATGAGCGAACACTTTCGTTCGTTCTTTTAGTTTAAAAATTGGTTCTTCAAAGAGGCCGTTAAGTTTTGTGTGTGGCAGTTGTAGCCTGTGCAGAAATCAATCTGGCTGCAAAGTCTCCATCAGCCAGGTCAGACGATGGCTCTGAAAAGAGTTTGTTATAGAAGGAAATTTGAAAGTTTCTGCACAGACTAAAGCAAAATAAACAAACAATGAAACCCATCAAAGGGTACTTAAGAAACATTCGTGATTTAAGTACTTGGCTAAGAAAACAAAACAAAACCACCAAACAACATGATTTTCTTTCTCTTTTAGGCAGGCGTTAAGTGGACAAGGGGACAAGATTCAAAGAACACCTACTAGATGCTGTTAAGAACTTGAAATTGATTTTTCAAAATAAATGAAACAAGGAAATCTGCATTAAATCAATCTCTAGAAGACCTTCATTGTCTGAATGTTTTGTTTGTGCAAACGGCAGTTTCTCCCCCTGAACAACTCAGTGATGCACTTAAAATGTTTTCAATAATTTTTTGTTAAATCATCTCGAGCCATAGTTTGTAGTTGCCTGCAGGATATGACTATTTAGTAGGACTTAAAAACTTATCTTCTTGGAATGGGCTGCAGGAGAGACAGAGTCACAAATACAGGAACTACTTAGGCAAGTAACAGTCCAGCCAAAGCCCACCACCAAGCTGTAGGAGCCAGTCGTTCTCTCATGTGTAAACTATTCCCCCAAAGAAAATGGAACATATTTTACGAATTCATGAACTCCTTCTTATCATCTACAATCAAGGCTTTAGTCACTTATTTTTCAAGACTCATAAACTGACCCAAATAAGCAAGTAAAGAGACAGCGCTTACATGCTGAACTGGAAGTAATTGTCTTGGAGTCCTGACAACTGTAGTTTTATATATTTCAATCTGTCTCTATCACTCGCTATCTAGCAAATGTTGCTGATAATCACTATGACCCCTCCTCAGGAGGCTTCTCAGACCACACCCATCCCACACCACAATTCTCATTTCACTGCATCATTTTTCTTGTCACTATCTCTCTCTGCCACTAGAATGTAAGCTTCGTGAGCGTGGGGGCTTTGTCTATCTTGGTCACTTTGATTACATGAAGTGCTTGGAATACAAAGTGTCTAACATAGAATTGAGATTCAGTAAGTAGTGGTGGATTGGGAAAGGTCAGCACATGCCCAGTAACTAGGATTATCAACTGAACGGAATGTTGAAGATGTAACCATCACAAAATGATAAACCCAAGTCCTCACCTCACAGCTATAGCCTAAGTATGTTTGTAAATATTTATATAGATATCCAAGCTTTTTGCCTCATATTTGTGTTTCCACAGCTCTCAACAAGTCATTGCAAACCACTATCCAATCAGGATGAAGGCATAAGAATAAGAACTCTTCAGTCCTCTTTAACCATAATTACATAATTGAAACCTGCCCTCCGTAAGGGGAGAAAGTAGAATGACTCCACGCAGTAGAAGTTAAATTTTTAAATCATATGCCTAAACAATGATGAATAAATAATAAATTGCACTTACAGAAATTACTTTCAAATTACTTTGAGGCTGTTGGGAGAAGTGGAGAAGCTGCTCAGCTACTGGTTTGTAAAAGGAAAGTCCATTTCTCTTGTTTTGCTCACCTATTAAAAGAATTTCTCCATCTAACTCCCAAGATGCTATGAGGGAGCTACTCTCCAGATTTAGAGAAACACCTTGAAGGCCTTTGTAGGGAAGTTTTTGCTTGGATCTGCAAAAGCTACTTATGGCTGATCATCTAATTGCAGAGATCATCTTGCATTGGATTAAAAAAGAATAAAGCCCTTTAACTCATTTGGAACTGGCCTTGTATTCCCTTCACCCCCCTTCCCCCAAAAGTGGTAATGAACTTGACAATGGTTAAAGAAAAAGATATCTGCAATGGTCAAATAACAGTCATGTGATTCATATCCAGAATGGATTTCTCTTAAAAATTAATAAGAAAAAAACTCCACAAATCACCTAATGGGAAAAAAAAGTTAGCAAAGCACATGACCAGGCACTTCTCAAAAGAAGAAACCTGAACAGCTAATAAACATAAAAAGGTACTAAATGACACTAGTAAACTGGGGAAATACAAACTGAAATAAGAAGATACCTTTGCCTATATAGCAGATTAGCAAAAGTTTAAGTCCGCCAATATCCAGCTTTGAAAGGGGCATAGAGAAGCAGGTACTTACATGCATTGCCAGTGAGACTGTAAACTGGTACAACCATTTCAGAGAGTAATCTCTCAATATGTGATAAAATTAAATATGCCCCTAGTATACCACCCAGCCATTCCACTTCTAGGTAAACACCTTAGAAGAACCTGAGTGCATGTATGAGGACTAGAAACTCATGTGAGTACTTCTATTGCAGTACAGTTTATAACAAGCTTAGTGTCTGTCAACAGGAAAAAGAGAAGACATAAGAAATTATTTTGTTCGTATAACAAAATGCTATATAGCTATTAAAGGAATGGACTAGATTTTCATATTTCAACATAGACCTCAAAAACATAGTAATGTTTTAAAAAAGCAGCAAGTTGCAAAATGATACAAGCAGTATGACACTATTATGTATATTTCATATAAACATATAAGGCAATAGTATAAATTGTTTAGGAAAACATACGTGTTCATGTAAATGTATAAATAATGGATTGGAAAACAGACCTTTGACGGTGCCTACCAGAATGGTGTGGGGAAGGCGTGCATTGGGGATGGAAGACAAAGAGATTTCAACTTTATAATGCTTTTTAAAACTTTATTTTTAAAAATCTTAAATATGACAAAATGGTGACAATTTTAATTTCTAGGTGATGGGTACATACGTATTTGTTAGATAGTCTATTTATACTGAATTTTTTAAAATTTCTCAAATTTAAAAAAACAATCTGATCTTTTTATGACAATCAAAATCATCATGTGGACACTGAGGATTTTTCCTTTCTGTGTCCTCTGTAACCAGCTTCGATCAAGGTAGGCACATTTTCAAAACACATACAAGCCCATATTAGTGTTAATCTATTGATCTCTGTCCTCCTGGAGAGGGTTGGCTCCTGACTATCTATTTTGCTCTCTACACTTATACAGTAAAACAATTACCAGTTTCTTGTATGTGAAGAATGCACGTGCATGTGACAATTCTGAACAGTGCTGGCAAATACTAGTATATAAAAGGATGATTCATGCAGACAATTTTAATACAATTCTGACCCAATTCCATATGAGTATTTATTGTGTACACTACATGTGCTGTGCAGTATGCAAAAGGTGAAACCGTAAAAGTATGGACACGGTCCTTCACGGTCAACATGTAGGCATAGTGGAAAGTGCATTGAACTTGGAGTCAGAAAAATCAGAATAAATTCCTGACTCCTCCTTGTAGGAACTAAGTACTCCTGGGTTAGATATTTAAACCTTCGGAGTCTAAATTCAATCATCTGTGTTATAGGAATGGTAGAACTACCTACCTCTGGGTGGATGATGGAAGTAAGTAAAATAAGCTTCGTGAAAGTGTCAGATACATGACAGACACCTGGTAAAGAGCAGTGTCTGCAAAGAGACTAGAGTTCAGTTGGAAGCTATAACAAAGACAAAGAAAGTATATCAGCATTGGTCATATCTTATGTATCTTGATAATCGCTGTGCATAATGCAGCGATGACACATAGTAGGTGGTTGTTAAGCTGCTAAATGAGTACTTGCATAGGGGAAAGA